TTTATTTCAATCTTTTCATCTGTCTTTGTTGAGAGCGACATCGGCTTTGAAATGATAGAAAACACGGAATATTAAATAGATATCTTGAGGAAAATTACAAATTGCATTTCAAAAGCAAGATATATTTTATAAAGAAAAAGAAATTGCTTTGTACACTATGTTTCAATAAATAAATAAATATAACAGTTAAATAAATAAATTATTATGGATATTATATATGGATTAATTTTTGGTCTTCATAGTTTCTCATTTAGTGTCAGAATGCAACTTTCGCACCGACTCTTCGTTTATAGATGAAATCCGCTTCTCTAGAATGCATTCGACGGTAATAGTAGAAGTAACTGAATATATATTATTTAGAGTAATGATAGTAATCATTTAGTCTTTGCTTTCTATAAAATGGTACTAAATCTCCTCCGCGAAACCAAATGCAATGTCACAAGGTTTCAAAGTTAATATCTTGAAAGTATGAGTATGACAGTGGTAGGACTTTAACATTACTCAGATAAAATAAAAAGCATCTCCTTTGTTTATTTTTGAAATTTGCTTCATTATATTTTATTTGGAACTTTTCTCGTTATGTTATTTAAAACACTTAAATACGTATTTAATAATAGTTTTGACTGGCGCAAGGTACTCTATAAGTAATTACTGAGAAATCTCTACGGTTTGCCTTCCATTTTATTACGCTGATTTTCAATGTTCTACAAATCATCAATGAATTAATTTGTGTAACAATAAATCTAACAAAATGCCATAAGTAAACCATATGCGCTTTCGTCAAACAAGCCGCTACTTTCTAAATAACAACAAAGAATAAACGAATTAATCTCAATAAAAAGGAGGTTAATAAGCTTATTTGCGGCGAGCGTTATGTTCAGAGCATGCGATTCAGATGCAAATAACTGGAAAATTAATGAATGATAAAGTAAGATACCTTGCACACTTTAGTGCACGATAAAAATATATTCACGTATATAAATATTACATTTATTTATTTACCTTGGCCATTGCAATAATCTTCTGGAGCACCGGTCGCCGTCGTTCCGCCTCTCGTTAAAATAATTTGGGATTCTAATTCTAGTAATTCGGATTTTAATTCGGCCAGACGTGCGTTGCTTTTTTTAACAATTCCGGCCACATCGGAAAGGGATCTGAAAAAAAAAACAATAATAAAAATATCGTTTTTTGAGTATATTATAAGGTAAATAATTAAAATAATGCAGTAATTTAAAAACTATCATTCGTTTTTAAGAACTCATGACCAATAGAAACTTTAATAATAATTGTACAAATTCCTTCAATAAAATAAATAATAACTTCTCATACTGTACCTTCTATTTTTCTATAATTACCTTCTATCTGTGGCAACCTCCCGTAGTTTTTCGGCGCCTTCCTTAATTTTCAATTCTTTTCGAATTTCGCGCCTAACACGCTCTTTTAATTCTTCTAATTTGCAAGGCAGAGCCGATTCGGGCACGTGGTCTGTTTGAAGTCCATACTTGTGACTAATTCGTACAGGACCGGATGGCGGATGTATTCGCCCTGGAAAAGAAAATAACAAATATATACATTTATCAGATTATTTTTTATTATTTACATTTCATCAGATATGAGTTATACAGGCATAGAAAAAGAATCATAGGGACAGGCTGTCTGAACATACTATTAGGATATTAGTACGAAAGTTGTTCGAACAAAATCATAACAGAAGAATTAAATAAAAATACTAATGATAAATGTATTTTTTTTCATTTTTGCCTTTTTGTACTATTATCAAAGCGTTTATAATTGCACCAAAAAGTTTATAATTTTAATTTTAATGAAATTCAGATGGTGGAAACTATATAATTAAACATAATAAAAAATATAGAATTCTTGTATTTTATTTGCCATGTGTTTTGCTTTCTAATTAATTATTACATCCATTTACCTGTATCTTATCCAAATTAATTATTGCCTGTTATCCGCTTCAGACAAATTTCGAAATTTAATAATTAAAAATCTGATTTTCAAAATGATAGAAATTTATTTCATGTATAAAAAGGAACAAGGTTGATGGTGCAATAGTTATTCATCAACATCCGTTTATAAATAAAAAAAATCTGATCATACAATAAATTTCCGTTGGCCTATACAATGAAACCGTTACAAATGGCCGGGTTATTAAATTATTTGCATTAAATAAAAATAACCATGGATACAAAAAATATATGTATATATAAAATTACAAATTCAATTATTTTCGAATAAATAATATATTCGCAAAGCTATCAGTAAGTAATCAAAACATTCACAAACGTTTTCTAATAGGATACATCAAAAGCCAATATGACCAGAAATTATTTGATATTAAATAAAATTTAGTTAATTTCGTCCATAAAATTTCAAAAATATTAAATACAAATAAAAATTCAACGTAATACAATATTGTTCATCATCATATAAATATTACTAAAAAAAATTTGAATAACAAAATATCTAATTAACAAATCACCAGCAATTCAATATATTAAAACAAATATCAAAGAAATTCATTATTTTTTCGAATATTTAAAACAATACGAAATGCCTAAATGAAATTTGCCTAATTAATCAGTCATTAACCTACATTCTGAATTATTTATTTGGAATGTTCAAATTCTGATTCAGAACTCGTTTCAATGCAAAAAATTTATGGTAGGCGGACGCCTTGTTTGGATAATTACCGATTTACAGTTTTTATTGTTAAAAATGGCTAGAAATCTAATATATGCATATATATATGTATGTATAAATATATTTATCATGAAATTCAATAATAAATGGATTTTTTTTCATATTTTATACATTTTGACACCAATCCAAAAATTTCGTTTTTACTTTGCTATGCAACTGCAAAATAATCCACCCTTCGACAAACGTTTCAAATAAATTCTCATCCAAATGTAAGATTTTTGGGTTAAAAAGTCCTTGCTGCGGTTTTAATAAATTACTTATTTTCGAATTATTATTATTTATATGCTTTGTTATAATTGTTTTAAATTGTTTCCTATTTTTGAATTTAATTTTGTGTTGATAAAGACGCTTATTGCTAAGATTTTGGCTTGTTTCACCTATGTAAGTGAGTTCTATCAATCTAAGCATTTTATCTACAAAATTGAATAAATGTCTATCAATATTTAAAATTTTAATTTAGACATTTTTGAAATTGTTAAATTAATTCAATATTTTAATATAATTCCTCTATCCATAAATGAATAATTTATTCATTTGCGGCCAAATTTGAACTCATTAGATTTATAGTCTAACGACTTATTTTCCATGATAAATGTGTATTTATTCTTGTCATTGTCAAATATAAAATACAAATGCTTACCGAGTACGAACGATCAAGCAGAGATTTTTTCATGAATAAATTTTCTGCGAGCGCGAATACAAAACCGAACGGGCCGTGAAAATAAATGAAGCGTTTTCATTGCGTACACAAACGATTGAACAATTACATAAAACAATGATAAAGGAATAGTAATGATATGGAATAGATCAGTATAAAACCACTCAAACAGAATAAAACCCATTAACATGACGAATAGAACCAAGTCTAAAATCTAGGCTCATATGATGAGGAAAAACTAATCAATTTTCACAGCTGCGGTAATAATTTTAAACCGCATAATCTGATTAACGAGCATGAAAAAGGTTTTGTTGATAATTATAATGAAAAAATAATATGGAGCATTTATAGCATTAATAATTAATGTATAGTATATTTATCTGCTAATTATAAAGATCTAAACGACTTACTCAAGTCATCATTTCCTAAAACTAATATACACAAGTATTTATCTAGTAATCATATAGCTTTTAAATTATTAAATTCGGTTCGCCTTTTTTGAGGGAAAAAAATTAAGGAAAATTTACTGCAAGTGATCCTGAGAGACTACAAGAAAATTACTACTTAAATACTTCATTTCTGACTATAGTCTGAAGTATACTTCAGTAATTAATTATTATATAATATAACTCTATATATAAACACAAATGTATCAATAAAAAAAACAAATGAAACTAGCTGTAAGTGGAATTCTGTCTTAAGGCAATTAAGGCATCGTGCCTTAAGGCAAATTGCTGGAACTTCCCGTACCAAAAATTATTATTTTTTTAAAAACGATTGACATTTTAAAAAAAAATTTACTTCGAAAAAATACGATTTTTAAGAAACTATAAATTGGACAAAAAATTACTTTTTTTTGAAAAAAAATTTTTTTAAAAAAAAATTTTTTTTTAACTTTTTTTTGTTTTTTTTTTTGAAAAATTTTTTTTTTTATTTTGACATATTGTGGAAGATCTGAACTTTCTTTTCAAAGCAATCGTACTGCTTTAACTGCATAGGGGCAAAATATAAAGCGCGTAAGCGCCGCGTCGCTGTCTAACGCATAAGCATTGGTACGGAACCCATAGGAATGTTAACAAAATGTATACTTATTGTTAAAATCTCTATAAAATATCTGATAATTTGATGAGCATATGTCTAATGATCATTTTTGACCGCCAAATGGCTTATTTTTTTACTTTTTCCTCCATATCTCCGAAACCGCTAGAGCTACCTTCATGAAAATTTTATCGATTCTTAACCTTGTCAATACAAGTGAAATGTTTTTTGAATTATTCAAATCGGACGCTCCGTTCTCTCAAAAACTGAGTTACCGTTTTCGGCACTTTTTGCCCCGTATCTTCGGAACGGCTAGACCTGCTTCGCCAAAAACTAATCAGCACGTCTCCTTATCAATACGAATCGAATGTTTTTTGAATTATTCAAATCGGTTGACCCGTGTTCCCGAAATCGTCGACGAAAATTTGTATCCGCACATACATACACACACATACATACATACATACACACACACACACACACATACACACACACACACACACATACATCCATTTTTTCTAAGGTATGCCAAAATGTTCAGAAACCTCTGAAACGTAAAGATATATAAAAATTTTCATTTTCGATTTTTTTGCGATTACTATAACTTACCCTACGGGAAGTTAATAAAAATGTAAAACTATTACATCAATTGCTAAAATATAAACAACATTGTGAATGTTGAAAATAGAAAAAAAATATATATGACCTCTATGTGCTTTTACATTTTGGTTTTTGAACAAAATTTAATTAAATTTTAAAAATGTTAAATACTTTATTAACATTTTTATAGGACAATCGAGGAACCCCATCACACTACATTAGCAATAAATAAAATTGGCTTTTCTCAAATGTAGTGAGCGATATCATATCAAATATTGCTAAAAAAAATATACTAATTGTTTGATTAATTTGAATCCAATTGGATTTGATTATTAGATCAATATAAATGATTGTTTCTAAAGCAATAAGTACCATTTTAAATAAAGAGATGAAAAATTCAGATATATCAATGATTGTATATAAACCTATATAACATACAATTTAAGAAAAATATGTTATTGGACCCCGGATTACATTATACATTATATACATTATATAAAACTTTTGAGCTTTTGGTGATAAGTTTTACCAAGAATTTAAGTTTATATAAACGTTAAGTCTTTAGTAATTACGAATTTAATATATGTTTATTTATATATATATACAAGTTTTATGATTAAACAGAATTCATGTAAAAATTAATTATGAATAAATCTTTGAAAATCAAATTAAAATTTTCTATAAGCACAAATCCTTGGTGAACTTTGGAAGTCTACGTAAAATTTACTTAATCCAGGAGCTCAGGAATTGGCCAAGAGTAACTAAACTAGAAAAATGAATTAATTTTTTATCTAGAAAAGTTTTAATTTTATTAAAATGATTTTATGAATTGCTGTTTGGAAAAACATCAAGACGAGGCCAACAAAATCATGAAAAATATAACTGAAAATAAACCAGGAAGGGTAAATTTATTAAAAAAAAACACTTGTAACCAAACAATAACTATTAAACTTGTAAATTAAAAAAATGAAAATGTAGAAAAACATTCATTGAGCAATTAGAGTTTAATTTCAATACTGAGAATATTGCTAAAATTAAAATGGTACATTGTTCCCCAACTATACGAAAGATGCATACAATTCAATACAACCTACATAATTTTCAGATTCATCAAAAGAATTAAAAGCTATCTATAATTCGTGGATTTGTACATTATTAGTGATAGATCTTCAATATGAATATCATTTTAATTCTGTGCATGATTTTGTTTTGATTCTGATAAAAAAGTTTTAGTTTAGGCTAAGGAGAATTTGATCAACTTTGTTAACCCTGTGTGAGATACCTTCACCTTGTGTTATCAACTATTGGCATGACTAAATCTTCATTTTGTACTATATATTCTTTTTATTAACCATTTTTTAGTATTTTTCAAAATCATATCATATATGTAAATAAATCTTCATTTCATTTAATAATTAAATTAAAATGAAGTCAATAATGTAATTTTTTTTACCATTGCACTCACATCTAATGCTTTAAAGCACGTC